GGCCCCCCCCCCCCAGTGCACAAATTTTTCTGCACCGGGCCTCTAGTTTACTATAAAATAGTATTTTTCATTTACTTATATTGCATCCAAGATAATTCTACCTCTGGAATGCCTCAACTTTGTTATGTTCTTTGGAAACATATCTTTCAAATCATTGAGCTCTTACCATAGCACCCTTCTCTCCCTGGGGACCTACTGGGCCTGGACTTCCACGCTCTCCCTTTTAGTACAAAGAGAGAAGAGAAACATTGAGGCAGGTTAATTAGTCATGACTGAGCTACACCTAGACAGAAAAATTGTCCATTAGAATCATAACTTACATGCATACATTCTTCTAATTTCTAGTATTTTTTAAATTTAAAAATTTTGCATTTTAACCAAAAATTTAAAAGTTAGAACATATAGGCAGGGGATAGTGGGTGGGAAGAGATCAACCAATGAACTTGTATGCATTTATGCATAACCTGTGGACACAGACAATGGGGTGGTGGGTGCCTCAGGAGGGGACTGGAGAGGGCTGGAAGAGGTTAATGGGAGAAAAGGGGAATCTATGAAATACTTTCAACAATAAAGATAAAAAAAAAGAAACATATAGGGTGTCCCCCCAAAATGTAAATACACTTTAAAAGCTGATAACTCACTTAATTTTCACTTCTTTTCTGGTTTAACTGATTTGAAATAATGGGTGAGCCAGACTAAATTTTGAATAAAGAAAATTTAGCCTAAAGTGCCACTAGACTTTCTTTTTATGGGGATACATAAGATAAAGTTTATGGTACAAAACCGGCAACAGTCAATGAATTGAGGACGCACAAATACCAAATGAAATGATTCTTGATGTTTGTGATTTCATTGCTGCGCATTATCAGCAGTGCCTGGAGCAGAATGGTCATTGGTTTGAAGACAGGCATTGATCAAAAGAAATTATTCATTTCTGTTGATTCTTTTAAAAATTGAAAATGAAATGTATGTTAACAAACACCAACTTTATAATCATTCAAAGTGCACACACATTTTGGGGACACTCTGTTTATGCTATTAGCTATATTTCAAAATATTTAAAAGATTCAGTATAGGTAATGTGTTTGAAATTAGGAGTGATTTCTAATTAACATTAAATATATCATATGAATGCCTATCCTTTGAGTATAGCTTAGCAGTCTCACTACTGAACAAAATAATGAAAGAAATTACCTTTTCACCAATGCTTCCAATCATCCCAACTTCTCCAGGTAAACCAACAGGTCCCTTTTAGAAAAAAATATACATATATTGCATTGCTCATATAGCATCTTGTTTTAAATCATCTGAAATCATTATGTCTCATTCTAACCAATCCTAAATTTTTTCTTAGAGTAAAATTTCCTCTAGTATAGGTCTCCAGCCTTTAATTTCACATCAGAATTAATTAATCTATTGAGTCAATAAATAGATCTATATGAATGTCTAATGTGTGACAGGCCCTGTGTTGAAAGGCACTGAGTTTCAAATTCAAACATAGTCCCTGTCTTTGTGGGATTTATAATCCAGCAAATTTTATAAAAAGTGATGTATTCACAGCTTTTCTTTTTAAATTGATGTATAACTGACATATAATATTAATTATATTAGTTTCAGGTGTACAGTGTAATGATTCAATATTTGTATACATTGTAAAATTATCACAGCAATAAGTCTAGTTACTACCCATCACCACACAAAGTTACAAAATATTTTTCTTGTGATGAGAACATTTACTCAGCTACTTTCAATTATGCAATGCAATGTTATTGAATATAGTCACCATGTCATACATAACACTCCCGTGGCATTTATTTTATGATGGGGAGTTTGACCCCCTTCACCCATGGGACTCAGACAACCAGAGAGACAATTCTTCCCAGGCTACTACCCCAGGACACTGCACAGGCAGCAGGCTGAAACACACCCAGTCTCCCTGTGACGGGGCCTGTTTACTTGTCCTGGAGCTTTGGCATCAGGGGCAGGTTTCAAGTTTGCCACACATCCAGAGGCTACAGAGCTGTCGCAGGAAACATATCCCAGGGGTCACCAACTTTGCATTCTCGCTTGGCCTTGCTACAGTTCACTGATACCACCCAGAAAGGAGCTTCTACACTCATGTGGAAGCACAATATTTGCAACTGTTGCCTAGGGGATACCTCCAGATCACCTGGTCTGGAGGCCAGCAGGATTTATCACTGTGGTTTCATAGGACCACATATTTTTGCAAACCTTGAAGGCTGCTGCCTGAGAGGGGCTTCCAATCAACTTGCAACTATGTGCTGACGGAGGCCCCTCCCTTTGGAACACTAACAGGTCTTGGCACACTCTCAGCAACTGGGACTGATCAAGAGTAAATCAGGGTGCTGAGATCGATAATCAGGAGGGTTTGGCAGATAACTGAGAGCTAAGGCAAGCTGAACAATAAGTGTATCTCCGACACACAGCTACTTCTTCAAGACTAGAGTGGTAGCTCTTTAGCCTAATACATAAAACAAACAAAGAGAGTCAAGTAAAATGAAGAAACAGGAATATGTTCAAATGGGGGAAAAAGGAGACATATGTAATATTTTCAACAATAAAGATTTAATTTAAAAAAAGGAAAGAAGAAGATAAAACTCTAGGAGGAAACTTGATGAAATGGAAATAAGTAATTTATCTGATAAAGAGTTTAAAGTAAGGGTCACAAACTTGGGAGAAGAATGGATAACCACAGTGAGCACTTCAACAAAGAAATATCTATACTAATAATGGCCTAGGTGGCATCACACCCTCATGTTGTCACAAGATGGCCGTCACAAGATGGCCATGTGCACAGTGGAGTTGGGGCCCAGCGGCTGCTCCACACGGTGAGGCCTGGGGGTCCCACGGCTCTGCAGGGTGCAGAGGAGGCTGGTGCCAGTGTCTCTGCCGCCTCGCACGGAGGAGGCGGGTCGCAGCAGGGGAGGGCAGTTGGGGGAGATCAGGCCAGCAGGGGAGCAGTTAGGCGTCAATCAGGCTGGCAGTGGAGCAGTTAGGGGGTGACCAGGCTGGCAGGCAGAAGCGATTAGGGGCAATCAGGAAGCAGGCAGGTGAGCGGTTAGGAGCCAGCAGTCCCGGATTGTGAGAGAGATGTCCGACTGCCTAAACCAGCAGTCAAACATCCCCCGAGGGGCCCCAGATTGTAGAGGGTGCAGGCCGGGCTGAGGGACACCCCCCCTTCCGTGCACGAATTTCACGCACTGGGCCTCTAGTAAAATATAAGAAAGCACGAAGCAGACCTCACATAGCTGGCATAAAAAGCATGGAACTGTTTCTGGTTTAGGTCACAAATCAACTTGTTCAATAAATGCAAAATAATATGAAGAAAATTACATTAAACACATTTATTTGCCCATCTGATAGACCCTGGATGCAAAGATGGGGAAATATACAAAGGAGTTCATAATCTAATAAGTTAGGCAAGGTAAATGCATATTTTCTGTAAGTTCAGAGAAGAAAAAGTAAAATGCTATATAATGCAAAGGCAGGGGATATTATATCCTGTTGAGAACATAAGGAAGGGCTTTACAGAGAAGGCAGTATTTGAGGTATGGCTTACTATTGACGAGATGAAATGCTGGAAGTATATTCAAAATGGAATGATTTGAACAGAAGGTGGGAGGTAGCAAATGGTAAAACACTTAGCAAACATAAAACAAATCCAGATTGTTTGAGATATGGGATATGTACAAGAAAGAAACTGATATAAGCATATTAGTGATGTACTATTAAGGGTTTTGAATATCAAATGAGAAATTTGTGTTATTTACAGAAGAATTTGTCTTTGTAGAAAAATATTGTTGGTTTGAGTAAAGGAGGAATGACAAGGCTGTATTCACTGTGTAGAGATGAGAAGAACAGAAAAAAACTGGTATGTGGTCAGAAGCAGTAAATGTTAAGTGTAATGACTCTTACAACAATGGTATTTTAATGAAAACAACACCTCAAGGGAGAGGCCAGTGTTAAATAAAAGATGAAGAATTAGCCATGAGACAGTTGTGATTCTTAAGAGTCTATCTTGAACTATTACTTCATAAGTCCATAGAAAAATCGTAATGAAGCAGTACATACAGCAGTAACAGATGAGGATCAGGAGAGAATCTTAATGAAGATTCTTTGGAGGCAAGAAATAGAAGAGAAAAGAAAACAGAAGAGTCAGAAGGAGAATGAGGAATGTGCAAAGAAAGTTAAGGGAGAAAAATGTTTCAAGGAGAGAGAAATCAGTGTTACATGGGCAGGGTTGAGAAGGATTGGCATTGAGACACAGTCACAGAATTTGGCAAATAGAAGGTTGGTGGTGACCACTAACAACAATTCCAGTAGCTTCTGTGTGTTTGGATATAAGTTTGTCACTGTACCTGGATTGTGGAGTTCCTGACTCCAGAAATGTAAGAAATAAATGTTTGTTATTGAAGCCACCCAGTCTGTGGCGTTGCATTACAGCAGCCTGAGCTGATGAAGACACTTAGCATATAGGTACAAACTGAAAATAGATGGAAGCTGGCTATAACTTCACTCGGGGTTGCCTAGAAAGACAGTGGCAAGGGGACATCTTTCTAATGGGCAGAGTTTCTGGCAGTGCTTCAGATCATTCACTCTGTGGCAAGGAGCAGTGACTTGAAATTAGAGCATGTACAGATTAATGGGTATTTGTAAGTGACTCCACTGGTTGGTTAGGCCCATGAAAGGAAGACTATTGTAAGACTGGGGACAAGATTTGAGAAAGACATGTGGATGGGTATATTAGACAAAAAGTGCAAAGATTTTTCTATCAACTATTAACACCTACCAGAAATGATCAATAATGGGTGAGTACTTGGAAAGAAATGGAAGGACTTAGGAAGTTGACATCAGCAAGTCTTGGTCATCAGTCACCTCAGTGCTAGAGGATTGCCATATGAATAGAAGGGACATGCTTGGAGAGATGGAAATTCATGGGCCCGGACATCAAGTTCCTGTGTATCAAGGCCAAATTAATTACTGCTGCCACTGAACATCCAAACTGCCAACTACAGAGAACAACATGGAGCCTGTGATAGGCTGCCATTCTTCAGAAGACCAACCAGCTACTGTGGGCAAGTTCACTCTGGAAGGGTCAAAGATTTATTCTAATAGACATGACATATACTGTGGGAATGGGATATTTCTCACATTCAGGCCTCAATTAGCAGCAGTATGTGAGAGCTTACAAAGTGTCTAATCTACCGTACAGGATCTCCAAAACATGTGTCAGACCACAAACCCCATTTTATAGCAATTAAGGTGTGGAAGAGGGCTTATGTTCATGGGATCTAATCGATCACATGACAACAAGAAGCTGCCAACCCAACAAAGCACTGGAAAGGTGGAGATAAACTGCCAATGAGGAGGTTATACTCAATGAGGACAGAGCACCATTCCATAGGATGAAAAAGTACATTGAATTAAAGGTATTTATATGGTGCTATATCTTCAATAGGAAATATTCATTGGTTTTGGAACCAAGGGTTAGAAGCAGAGTTAGCCCTACCTAGTATAACTCCTAATGTCTCTATGGGAGACCCTGTTCTTTCCATTCCCACAAAATGGAACTCTTCAGGATGTAGGTCCTGTTCTCCAAAGAGGACACAGTAAGAGTTCTATGGCTGCCTCCTGAGCACTTTAAGTTCCCTGTATCCAGGCACCACAGCAAAAAGGAAAAAAAAAGTCCCATCTTGGCACAGTTAATTTACTCTGATCATTGGAAAGGAGGAGAAGATTGTTATCATTTGTGCTCCTAAAATCAACTGCAGAATTAGGTGCTATAATTTATACCACTAACTCCTGTTTTCCTCTGGAAGAAAATCCACCAGAACCTTAAAGGAGCAGCATCCTGAAAGGTTATGGAGAAGTGGGTCTAAATGACACAAGGAGTAAAGTGTGGTGAACACCAAGATGGGCCATCCAGAGACTCCTTCAAAAGAGAATGTCTTGCCCAAGCTGTCATCAGCTTCAAAGTTTGCCTCAGTTTTGGAGGGTCTTCTTGATCAAAGGCATACTCTTCTCAGGGTGGCCCATATATAATGACTACTTGAATTAGAGTATAAAAGCCCAGCCATTCAGGCCAGCACACTGGACTATAATGAATTAAGTGCTTCATATAGGGATTGTTGAGATTTAGCAGGCCTGTATCAGTTTGACTTCTCCCAATCCTACTTCCTGGTCCTCTTTTCAAAAGTGTTGCTTCTTATAATACCCTGTAGCAAAAT